GGGGGGTTGAAGAGGGTTGGAATAGTTTTAAAAATGCAGTATTAGAATGTGGAGCAGAAGTTTGTAGTTATAGGAGGGTGGGGGCAGGAGGAAAGAGGAGTGATTGGTGGAATGATGAAGTAAAGGGTGTGATAAAAGAGAAAAAGTTAGCTTATGAGAGGTTTTTACAAAGCAGAAGTGTTATAAGAAGAGCAGAGTATATGGAGAGTAAAAGAAAGGTGAAGAGAGTGGTGAGAGAATGCAAAAGGAGAGCAGATGATAGAGTGGGAGAGGCACTGTTAAGAAATTTTAATGAAAATAAGAACAAATTTTGGAGTGAGTTAAACAAGTTAAGAAAGTCTAGGGAAAGTATGGATTTGTCAGTTAAAAACAGAGTAGGGGAGTTAGTAGATGGGGAGAGGGAGGTATTAGGTAGATGGCGAGAATATTTTGAGGAACTTTTAAATGTTAAGGAAGAAAGGGAGGTGGTAATTTCATGCACTGGTCAGGGAGGTATACCATCTTTTAGGAGTGAAGAAGAGCAGAATGTAAGTGTGGGGGAGGTACGTGAGTCATTACGTAGAATGAAAGGGGGTAAAGCAGCTGGAACTGATGGGATCATGACAGAAATGTTAAAAGCAGGGGGGGATATAGTGTTGGAGTGGTTGGTACTTTTATTTAATAAATGTATGAAAGAGGGGAAGGTACCTAGGGATTGGCGGAGAGCATGTATAGTCCCTTTATATAAAGGGAAAAGGGACAAAAGAGACTGTAAAAATTATAGAGGAATAAGTTTACTGAGTACAGTGGACCCACGGTTAACGATATTTTTTCATTCCAGAAGTATGCTCAGGTGCCAGTACTGACCGAATTTGTTCCCATAAGGAATATTGTGAAGTAGATTAGTCTATTTCAGACCCCCAAACATACACGTACAAACGCACTGACATAAATACACTTACATAATTGGTCGCATTGGGAGGTGATCGTTAAGCGGGGGTCCACTGTATACCAGGAAAAGTGTACGGTAGGGTTATAATTGAAAGAATTAGAGGTAAGACAGAATGTAGGATTGCGGATGAGCAAGGAGGTTTCAGAGTGGGTAGGGGATGTGTAGATCAAGTGTTTACACTGAAGCATATATGTGAACAGTATTTAGATAAAGGTAGGGAAATTTTTATTGCATTTATGGGTTTAGAAAAGGCATATGATGGAGTGGATAGAGGAGCAATGTGGCAGATGTTGCAAGTATATGGAATAGGTGGTAAGTTACTAAATGCTGTAAAGAGTTTTTATGAGGATAGTGAGGCTCAGGTTAGGGTGTGTAGAAGAGAGGGAGACTACTTCCCGGTAAAAGTAGGTCTTAGACAGGGATGTGTAATGTCACCATGGTTGTTTAATATATTTATAGATGGGGCTGTAAAAGAAGTAAATGCTAGGGTGTTTGGGAGAGGGCTGGGATTAAATTATGGGGAATCAAATTCAAAATAGGAATTGACACAGTTACTTTTTGCTGATGATACTGTGCTTATGGGAGATTCTAAAGAAAAATTGCAAAGGTTAGTGGATGAGTTTGGGAATGTGTGTAAAGGTAGAAAGTTGAAAGTGAACATAGAAAAGAGTAAGGTGATGAGGGTATCAAATGATTTAGATAAAGAAAAATTGGATATCAAATTGGGGAGGAGGAGTATGGAAGAAGTGAATGTTTTCAGATACTTGGGAGTTGATGTGTCGGTGGATGGAGTTATGAAGGATGAGGTTAATCATAGAATTGATGAGGGAAAAAAGGTGAGTGGTGTGTTGAGGTATATGTGGAGTAAAAAAACGTTATCTATGGAGGCAAAGAAGGGAATGTATGAAAGTATAGTAGTACCAACACTCTTATATGGGTGTGAAGCTTGGGTGGTAAATGCAGCAGCGAGGAGATGGTTGGAGGCAGTGGAGATGTCCTGTCTAAGGGCAATGTGTGGTGTAAATATTATGCAGAAAATTCGTAGTGTGGAAATTAGGAAAAGGTGTCGAGTTAATAAATGTATTAGTCAGAAGGCAGAAGAGGGGTTGTTGAGGTGGTTTGGTCATTTAGAGAGAATGGATCAATGTAGAATGACATGGAAAGCATATAAATCTATAGGGGAAGGAAGGCAAGGTAGGGGTCGTCCTCAAAAGGGTTGGAGAGAAGGGGTAAAGGCGGTTTTGTGGGTGAGGGGCTTGGATTTCCAGCAAGCGTGCGTGAGCGTGTTAGATAGGAGTGAATGGTACTTGGGACCTGACGATCTGTTGGAGTGAAGGGATTCAGGGAAACCGGTTATTTTCATATAGTCGGACTTGAGTCCTGGAAATGGGAAGTACAATGCCTGCACTTTAAAGGAGGGTTTGGGATATTGGCAGTTTGGAGGGATATGTTGTGTATCTTTATACGTATATGCTTCTAAACTGTTGTGTTCTGAGCACCTCTGCAAAAACAGTGATAATGTGCGAGTGTGGTGAAAGTGTTGAATGATGATGAAAGCATTATCTTTTTGGGGATTTTCTTCCTTTTTTTGGGTCACCCTGCCTCGGTGGGAGACGGCCGACTTGTTGAAAAAAAAAAAAAATAAATAAATAATTACCTCACAATACAAATACTCTTACATTGTGTACAAGTTAGTTCAGAATAAACAAACAGCAACACACCATTTTTAGAGTGAATGAAGATAATAATATTAATAATAATAATAATAATAATAATAATAATAATAATAATATTATTATTATTAATAATATTATTATTATTAATAATATTATTATTATTATAAAAAAGCACTAAACCCACAAGGGTCGTGAATTGCTATATATAGAGTAAAGGCATACGAAAAGAGTATTTTTCTACAGGTATCCCCCAGTTTGACTAGAGAAAACGTAATTCTTCCGACACTACCTACACAGCTGCCTTGTAAACAAATCTCATTTACATCAATTTTTATTCTGTGAGTGTATGTATCATGTTTATATGCTATGTAATGGGTTTCATATATAATTTTGAGGAAAATATCATAGATGGATTACCAAAAATGCCTATATTGATGTAAAATAAGACATTTAGTGTGCCCAAGAGTGATCATTATTACGTAGTATTGGCATCATGAGTAGAGAGAGACTTAGCGATTTTAATGTGTACCTGCACACCAGCACAGTGTGTAAGTATATTTAGGTACAGGTACACATAAGTATAATTATCAGAGTACATATAAGATATGCAGTCACTTTAAAACACTTGAAATTTTGGAAAGTTTATTGACATAATAGATGAGATCACGGAAAATGTAAACAAACCGGGTGGGGGGCGCCGTATTTGAAAGACCGCTTGCCGTATAGCAAATTTTGGTCATAATTTGACATCGCCATATTAGCGGAACGCCGTAAAGCAAGGCCTTACTGTATATGCTTCTAAACTGTTGTGCTCTGAGAACCTTTGCAAAAACGGTGATTATGTGTGAGTGAGGTGAAAGTGTTGAATGATGATGAAAGTATTTTCTTTTTGGGGATTTTCTTTCTTTTTGGGTCACCCTGCCTCAGTGGGAGACGGCCGACTTGTTGAAAAAAAAAAAAATGTTATATTCTCTTAAAAGATACCAAGAAACAGCCAGGAAAACCATAAAAGCCATCCTAGAAAATGGCGATCTGCAATTTTAGACTAAACAAAAGATCTAAGTTTTACTCTTCTCATCATGCACTGCACAGGGCAGGATTTTTTTTTATACTGTGCATTCTCACTGCACCAACCTATTCTCTCATATTTAAGCCAAAATTTAAAACTCCCGACTTATCTGAGGGAGCCGTGCTCAAAGCGTAAATCTACATGACAGACCATGGTATCAATACCGTAGATCCGCGGCCACTCAAAGGGTTAATAATTTACTATAAAAACATGCGTGAGCGTGTTTGATTGGAGTGAATGGAGGCAAATGGTTTTTAATACTTGACATGCTGTTGGAGTGTGAGTAAAGTAACATTTATGAAGGGATTCAGGGAAACCGGCAGGCCGGACTTGAGTCCTGGAGATGGGAAGTACAGTGCCTGCACTCTGAAGGAGGGGTGTTAATGTTGCAGTTTAAAAACTGTAGTGTAAAGCACCCTTCTGGCAAGACAGTGATAGAGTGAATGATGGTGAAAGTTTTTCTTTTTTTGGGCCACCCTGCCTTGGTGGGAATCGGTCAGTGTGTTAATAAAATATAAAAAAGTATTACAGAAATAAACACTCCATAGTATATAAAATTTTAAGTGTATGAATTGCAGGCCGTAGGCTAACAGTAACATCAAATTTTGATGAAATGGGAAACTTTCCCTACCTTTAAGATGTAATGAAAAAAAAAAGGGACTCCTAGGCTCTTAGTAAGGCAGTCGGAGTGCTTAAACCCCATCACCACTATAGGGGTGTTTATCATGATAGGATTATCTATATAGGACAGCTTCATTTATGATGGGCAAATATGCTATCACCTGACAATCCAGTTCGAATAAAGGAAGGGGGTAAAGGAGGTTTTTTGGGCGAGGGGCTTGAACTTCCAGCAAGCACATGTGAGCGTGTTAGATAGGAGTGAACGGAAACGAATGGTTTTTGAGACCTGACGAGCTGTTGGAGTGTGAGCAGGGCAATATTTTGTGAAGGGATTCAGGGAAACTGATTAGCCAAACTTGAGTCCTGGAAGTGTGAAGTACAATGCCTACACTTTAAAGGAGGGGTTTGGGATATTGACAGTTTGGAGGGACTTCTAAACTGTCGTATCTGAGTGCCTCTGCAAAGACAGTGATTATGTATAAGGTGAAAGTGTTGAATGATGAAAGTATTTTTCTTTTTGGGGATTTTCTTACTTTTTGGGTCACCCTGCCTCGGTGGGAGATGACCAACGTGTTGAAAAAAAAAAAAAATACCCAAATAATAGTATTTAATAGCACATTGTGTGTGTGTGTGTGTGTGTGTATGTGTGTCTCAACTATTTTAGTGTGTATAAATTAGAAAATTACTTACACAACTTTCTTACCTGAGGTTTTCACCACCTTCTGATACTTGGTGCTGAAGACCATTTGGTAGACCAGATACAAATTCTTTAAGGTGGGATTGTTCCAGTGCTGACCACACTTTAGCATCATCATATTTATGAAAGGGATCAAGATTCATCTGCAGTGTCCCACTAAACAGCACAGGATCCTTACAAAGGAAACATCCCATTAATTCTGTATTCCAAGAGCCTGCTGCAATAATATTCATTTTTTTTTTAAATCAGCAGCCATTGTCTGCCAAGGCAGGGTGAACTACAGAAGAAAACAGTCACACAATCATCTTTCCAGAAGTGAGTAGACTTTTTTTTTTTTTTTTTTTTTTGTCAACAAGTCGGCCGTCTCCCACCGAGGCAGGGTGACCCAAAAAAGAAAGAAAATCCCCAAAAAGAAAATACTTTCATCATCATTCAACACTTTCACCACACTCGCACATTATCACTGTTTTTGCAGAGGTGCTCAGAATACAACAGTCTAGAAGCATACACATATAAAGATACACAACATATCCCTCCAAACTGCCAATATCCCAAACCCCTCCTTTAAAGTGCAGGCATTGTACTTCCCATTTCCAGGACTCAAGTCCGACTATATGAAAATAACCGGTTTCCCTGAATCCCTTCACTAAATATTACCCTGCTCACACTCCAACAGATCGTCAGGTCCCAAGTACCATTCGTCTCCATTCACTCCTATCTAACACGCTCACGCACGCTTGCTGGAAGTCCAAGCCCCTTACCCACAAAACCTCCTTTACCCCCTCTCTCCAACCCTTTCGAGGACGACCCCTACCCCGCCTTCCTTCCCCTATAGATTTATATGCTTTCCATGTCATTCTACTTTGATCCATTCTCTCTAAATGACCAAACCACCTCAACAACCCCTCTTCTGCCCTCTGACTAATACTTTTATTAACTCCACACTTAAATGACCCTCCAAGTATAACATACCCAACCCTTTCAAAGTGCAAGCACTGCCCTTCCCAGCTCCAGGACTTTAGTACTATTAACTAGTATTCCCAGATTCCTTCACAAAGTTACCTTGCTCACACTCCTACATTCATTTGTAATACACCTACACTAGCCTGTCAGATGATTAAATCCCTAAGCCTCTTTTATCCTTTTCTTCAAACCATTCATGGGATGATCCCTTTCCCTCCTATCTTCCACCCGAGATTTAGATACCCTCTTTGTCTCTGTCTCTGTATCTGTGTATCTGTCTGTGCCTGTCTCTGTGTCTGTGTCTATGTCTGTGTCTGTCTCTGTGTCTGTTTCTGTGTCTGTGTGTCTGTCTCTGTGTCTGTGTCTGTCTGTCTCTCTCTCTCTACTGTCCAGTTCTTCAAAGCACACTGCTTATACTGTAAAAAAAAAAACATTTAAATTTTGCTGTATTGAAAGGTGATTGAACAAACTTTCAAAGATGTTACATTTAAAAAAAAAATCAATTATATTAAAACAAAAGTAACACAATGAAAATCTAGTATATAATACTGACAAGTTGTGGTCAAAGACACACGAGCAAACACTTTGAACATTTTATTATGAAAATGTTTTGATCCTGAGACCTTGTTTACTCCATATGTAGGGCTTGAGAAGACAGGTTTATATAGGGAAATGCTACCTTACTAAACTTCAGCTTACCTTTCATTTACCATTCTCTACATTAACCTGTTTGCTCATGAGTCTTTAACCACAAAAGTAACGTAAGTGGGTAGGGAAGAAGGGAAATGGAGGAACTGGGAAAGGAGATAAAGAAAGGAGGGGAGGGGAGAGGCAAGATGTTAGGAAAAAGAATGGAGAGTAGGGAAGAGGGAAGGGATTATTCTTACTATGTTCCATATCACTTTACTGTCTAACTTTAGATGTATTACATATTTGTATGACTGAAATTACAGTTACTATACACATTCTGAAATGACAATATTCACAGCACTTTCAGCAGAAATAAACTTGAAAAAAGAAAACTTGACTGTGAAGAGTATTACAGTATACACACATCAAACATACCTGAGGAATTATAGTCAGCCGCGAGCGTAAATCATGAAGGCCTATCTTAGAAATATTGACATTGTCAATGACAATGTTACCTCCAGCTGCTTCTATGATCCGGAACAAAGCTAGAGTCAATGATGACTTACCAGCACCTGTTCTGCCAACAATTCCAATCTGAAAAAATCAAATATCAGTACGAGAGAAAGTAGAGAATAAACTATAGTATTTTTTTTTTTTTTCAACAAGTTTATGATCACATTATTCCACTACGCGAGTTTACTCTCACACTGGCTGGGGGCAACATGAAAAAAAAAAATATAATAATTAATACATATGAAAGAAAAAATCTAACCTTTTCACCTTTTGTTATTTTACAATTAATGTCTCTCACCACCAAATCAAGCCCTTCGCGATATCTGGTAGAATACTTGTTGAATTCCACAACTCCAGCTTCAGGCCATTCCTAGAATCACAAATATAATATTAACAAGCATTAAAGCCATTACAATTACATTTCTTCATTTATTTCTTTATTTTGCATCAAGCCTATCAATACTAGCTTAAAAGCACAATTTTTCAATTATGCTCAGTAGTCATAACAGGATGCAATTCTCTTTTATATCTTTCTTTTGTTCTTCTTTCAACAAACTGGCCATATCCGACAGAGGCAGGGTGGCCCAAAAAGAAAAACAAAAGTTTCTCTTTTTAACTTTAGTAATGTATACAGGAGAAGGGGTTACTAGCCCCTTGCAAATGTTGGATTCAAATAACCATTAAAAAAAGCTGTTAGACACTGAGGAACAGCAGTTATTCCAGTGAAAAACCATCTGAAAAATTCACTAATATGTGAAATGAGAAACCTTGACAATGTGTGTAAATGGTCAGGACCCTCAAAATTAGTGCTGGCAGAAATGAGATTAAAAAAAAAAAAATTCTTCTGTAATAGAAGAGAATCTCTAAAAACTTACAGAATTACAAAGGCGCAGTTGGCAGTCTGGCCATAAATTACTCCTTGGCGAGTTTGCCTAATCTGAGTCCTATTTTAAACCAATTCCAATGCTCATTTTAAATAAATTCTTAGCTATTTTGCTAGTATGCCTTCCTTTCTATTGACTGAGCACAAGGAACTGCTCATTCAACATCAGAACAACCCTATAAAGTACACAGAAGTTGGTAATTTGACAAATTTTACCCACAGTTAATAAATTTGAATTTAAAAACAGAATCGAAAATAAACACTGTAGACATTCCAGTAATTAAAGCAACTTATCCTCTGTTCATTAATCATATATTACACATGACCTCCATATTGAATACATCACTACATAAAGTCAAAGTTTTACCTTATTTCTCTTCTAATAAAATATAACAAGGAATATAATCTAGTAAAATTCATAAAATACAGGGCGAGGGTTAGGGGCACTTATCCTTCTTCAGCAAAATTGTCAAAAATAGAATACTTCTGCTACTTTGAGCCCTATTTCAAGCTATTTTTGGCCCTGAAACCCACCAAAATCATCTTTATTTCAATGCTATGTTTTCTATTTTATCAATTGTCACCAAGAAATAGAAAACACCTCCAAATCATTATTTTAACCCCTTAACTGTCCAAACATAGATCTACATTCCTACCACTAGTACTCCAAGTGTAGATTTACATTTTATTTTTCCTGCCACCAAATTTGGCATGATTGGCCTCAGATGCCTGGTCAGTATAGAATGCGTCTTAACACTCGGTGTGGGCAGTATAAAAAAAATCTGGGACCACTTAGTACCTAGTGGGAGCACCAGTTCAACTGAGCCAGCTAGAGTAAACAGTGCAGCAAACACCTGGGATTCACTGATGTCATGTAGTATTAACACTCCCAATTTAAGAGGAAAGTGATACTGACCCTGAGTTTAGTGGCTCTGAGGTGGATGTGGCCATAAGTGGTCGAGGAAATATCAAAAACCTCGATACTAACCCATGTGTAACACCCTTTCAATTTTGGTACCACTGGTAGTTTCATCCTGCCAGAATGTCTTATAACCTATGCCCTAAGTAAAGAAAAAATTCTGGAATGTGTAATATGCATTTGGCAGGCTGGCTGGCCAACTGGCTGGCCAGCAGCTGGCTGACTGGTTGATTGACTTTGGCTGTCTCTATCTCCATCTGTGTCTGTATCTATATCTGTCTCTGTCTATCTCTATCTCTATCTATATCTCTGTTTCACAGGTACACATACAATTATACATACAATTATACATAGTGTAAATTACCTAGGATAACCCAAAAAATCCAAACAAAGTGCTTGTAGGTAGAAAGTGCATAGTAAACATGACTGGCAAATAATACGCATTTACACTTGCTGAAGGATCAGATGTGGCGACAACTGCCAACTGTGGGTGTGTAATACATGTTGGTTCACAAGTGGCTCTCTCTGAGGCAGAGACAAGTAGAGAGACAGAATGAGACAAGCAGAGTGACAGATAAACAGAGACAGAGATAAACAGATACATAAAGAGCTAGACAGAGAGCTAGACAGACAGAGAGCTAGATAAACAGACAGACATGTTTATGTGTAACAGTGAAAACAAATAAAGCCAAGGTTCATCAAATGTCACCATTTGATGAACCTTGGCTGCACTGTCAGTCCATTGCTGATAGTGCAGCAATGGACTGACACTTGTCTTACATCATGCTTCAAGGGAACTTATTATTATTATTATTATTATTATTATTATTATATACTCCCGCATATCCAAAACATTGCTGGGACCTATAAATACTGTCTGGGACAAAATTTACTTCTCACATCATAACTGAGGGATCTGTGCTTAAAAATAGATCTATTTAAGTGACATTGACATTAATACCACAGATCTATGTATGAGACAGGGAAAGAGTTAAGAGTGAAAATGATGCATGTTAATAAAAAAATATGGTAAAGGACTTATAGTTAAGATCTGACAGATTCATGAATATTAAAAATCTGGTTGGCTGCAAATAACACTGTAGTTATTGTGCTTCTCAAAAGGTCCAAATTCTATAGATGGAACAATAATGGTGTTAAATAATTTAAATCGGGAGGATTCTGAGGATGACAGACTAGCAGATGATACAAAAGGGAGAGCTGAGAAATTAGATTTCCATCATATTAATTTTTTTAGGTAAACAATTATAAGTGTACCAATGAACTGTTAGTTAAACTGTTTTACTTCATGAAGTTATATCTCACCTGGTGAGGTTTATTACTGGGTATTTCCCAAGGTGCTTCCTGTGGAGTCTCTGAGTATTCTTTGATGCGCTCTACAGCTACTATGTTGGTCTCTACATCAGACGACATACGAACCAGCCAGTTTAGAGTTTGTGTTACCTGAAGCAATATAAACCAGTTATTCCATTGGTGAAAAAAAGAAAGGAAACAACTAAAACAGAAATAAGAAATACAATGTTCTGTAGTTGGAGAGAAGTGAGGACATTTATGAATCAGATTTCTATATTTACAAGAAACACAATGCTTGCTGATTTGGGTTAATGTTCTGTTTACATATTATTCTTGTAAAACACATTATATGCACTGCATTTTGATAAAGTCTTGAGAAATGGAGGACAGGGTAATGAGGGAGGGAGGGAGGGAAGGAAGGAGGAAGAGAGAGGAGGAGGGGGAGAGAGGAAGTGAGAGAGGAGGAAAAGAGGGAGGAAAAGGAGAGGGAGGGGAGGAGGAAGAGAGGGAGGGAAGGAGGAAGAGGGAGAAAGGAGAGGGAGGAAGGAGGGAAGAAGGATGAAGAAAAGGCAAAAGAAACAACAGCAAGATAAGCAACAGCAGCAGTAGAAACAGCAGCAAAACCAGAATCAGCAGCAGCAGAAGAATCATTAGTAGACAAAGTAGGTACAGTAACAGTAACTGCCACAAAAGAAAAACAAATAAATTCTTGAGTGAATTAGTGTTATAAGAAGCTATGTTAAGTAAGAATTGAGCGAGTGTCAAGGTTTATATATATATATATATATATATATATATATATTTTTTTTTTTTTATTATCACACCGGCCGATTCCCACCAAGGCAGGGTGGCCCGAAAAAGAAAAAACTTTCACCATATATATATATATATATATATATATATATATATATATATATATATATATATATATATACAGGTCTCCCTCAACATTCACGTTTTCAACTTTCGCGGGCTTCACACATTCGTGAATTCCCAACCGCCAAATTCCCAGCCTCCAAATCATATTTAAGTTTACCGCCAAGAGTCCTTACTACCCTCCCTCCGACCCCTGTAACTGGCAACTGGCAGCCAGCCCTCCCACCACTGTGTGGTGAGTGTTTTGTTTGTTCATTATTTGCTATTAAACTACAGTATAAATAATGTAAACCCATCCATGACTGCATATTAGAATGGCTATTCAGACAGGTATTGGAAGGTGACATCATGTGTTTACTCTTGAACACAGCAAAGAATTAAACATTTCTGCTACTGCTAATAATAATAATAATAATAATAAATACGATAGAATTGAAGAAGGAAATTGTACAAAAATACGAGGGTTGAAGCAGTGGTGGAGGAAGTGGTTGACGCATCGTCGGTGTGGCTTTGTTTATGCTGGAGTGAGTATTAGTCTCCGTGCTCTTCCAAACATTTCACAATAATTCATTGTATTTGGTGCTTGTAGATTGAGTGTGACTGGAGTGGTTGAGGCAGTGGTAGAGGCAGTTATAGAGGCAGTGGTAGAGGCAGTGGTAGAGGCAGTGGTAGAGGCAGTTATAGAGGCTGTGGTAGAGGCAGTTATAGAGGCAGTGGTAGAGGCAGTGGTAGAGGCAGTGATAGAGGCAGTGGTAGAGGCAGTTATAGAGGCAGTGATAGAGGCAGTGATAGAGGCAGTGGTAGAGGCAGTTATATTATTATTATAATAAAAAAGAAGCGCTAAGCCACAAGGGCTATACAGCGCTGCATAGAGGCAGTTATAGAGGCAGTGATAGAGGCAGTGGTAGAGGCAGTGGTAGAGGCAGTGGTAGAGGCAGTGGTAGAGGCAGTGGTAGAGGCAGTGGTAGAGGCAGTGGTAGAGGCAGTGGTAGAGGCAGTTATAGAGGCAGTGCCTCTACCACTGCCTCAACCACTCCAGTCACACTCAATCTACAAGCACCAAATACAATGAATTATTGTGAAATGTTTGGAAGAGCACGGAGACTAATACTCACTCCAGCATAAACAAAGCCACACTGACGATGCGTCAACCACTTCCTCCACCACTGCTTCAACCCTCGTATTTTTGTACAATTTTCTTCTTCAATTTTATCGTATTTATTATTATATTATTATTATTATTATATTATTATTATTATTATATTATTATTATATTATTATATTATTATTATTATTATTATATTATTATTATATTATTATTATTATTATTATATTATATTATTATATTGGCAGTTTGGAGGGATATGTTGTGTATCTTTATATGTATATGCTTCTAAACTGTTGTATCCTGAGCACCTCTGCAAAAGCAGTGATAATGTGTGAGTGTGGTGAAAGTGTTGAATGATGATGAAAGTATTTTCTTTTTGGGGATTTTCTTTCTTTTTTGGGTCACCCTGCCTCGGTGGGAGACGACCGACTTGTTGAAAAAAAAAAAAAAAAAAAATTATTATATTATTATTATTATTATTATTATTAGCAGTAGCAGAAATGTTTGATTCTTTGCTGTGTTCAAGAGTAAACACATGATGTCACCGTCCAATACCTGTCTGAATAGCCATTCTAATATGCAGTCATGGATGGGTTTACATTATTTATACTGTAGTTTAATAGCAAATAATGAACAAACAAAACACTCACCACACAGTGGTGGGAGGGCTGGCTGCCAGTTGCAGGGGTCGGAGGGAGGGTAGCAGGGACTCGCAGTGGTTGAGGCAGTGGTATTTAATAACATGCATGTTATTAAGGCATAACGTATGTATTTAGTACAATTTACGACGTTTTCATGTACTTTATGATTGTTCATGGTTGGACAAGTTAAGGAAGCAGCATTGTATTATATTTCCCTACAATATATTGGGGCACCAAACATTCACGGTTTTTCAACATTCACGAGGCTCTTGATCCCCTAACCCTCGCGAATGTTGAGGGAGACCTGTATATAAAAAAAAAAAATCTAAACAAGCATAAAAATCTTTAAAGAGGTTGACTGCATAAGTATCGTAGTTTTCCACGATTTTGTAGTAAACGTACGGAAAGTGCATAGCTGACAGACAATCCTACTATTCCACCGCTGATTCTACCTCGGCCCATGACAGCAAATAAAGCTGCGGAAAATGTCAATATGTTGCCAATGGTCTCCAGGCGAACTGCTAACCATCTGTGAACATAAATTGTTATTTTACATAAGGTAGTAAGATTCATTACGTTCACAAATATTGTAATCCCTCTAAATTTGATATTTTTATAATACCTTAACTGACTTATAAATAATTACAGAAAACAATTTAAAGTCATCATTTTGCAGAATATGTATTCCTATGTACAGCATTTATTTTTTTATAAAATTTGTTTTGTATACCAAATGCATTAATATTTTGTATAAGATCATTAAGTGATTACAGTACTGTATAAATTTGATTAGCTATCTATGCAGAAGTTACTGGAATGAAGCTATGCTTCTGGTGTCCAATCCTCAGTATTTATTTGCTATAAAAGTTTTCAGTGAGTGTAGCCCATTTCACCTTCTCCTGGATCTTAGTTCAGTATTCTACCATTCATTGTCAAAATTTCTTTTCCTTTATCCCTTAAAAACAATAAAATTTCCCCACTTTATTATTGGTTAAAATTTATTTTCAATTATGATCGCATTATCATTTTCCCACTCTCTTTAACATTTCTTTATGGGTCTAATTTTTTTAAATAAAAAATTAAACTTAAATTTAAAAATATTTTTCTTTTAAAACCTCAAATTACAGTTTTTTCTTTCAAAAATTTACTATTTAAACTTTAAAAACAATAATATCTAAATTCATAAAAAATACTAAAAATGCAAAACTTAAATCTAACTGTTTTAAACATTTTTAAGCCCCATTAAGCGGGTTTCCCTTTACCCGTAAAGCACAACCCCCCAAATAAAACCTTTTTCCCTTCTTCACTCAAAAATGGTAACTTTACACTAAATTATTATTTTTCTGAACCAATTAAAAAACTAAAAAATTCCACACAATCACTCATCTTCCTTAAAATTTAAAATCTTTTAAGGGGGCAAATATATTTTTAAGTTTTTAATGGTTTAAACTAAAAACCCCTTTCTTAATGCCCCCCCCCCACCTACATTCTTTTTTTAAGCTCCCACTAAATTTTAATTCCTTTACTCCCTAAAATATTTGTTTTCTTAATTAGGTTAGGGTAAGTAAATAATAACAATTTTTTTAAAAAAATTTAAAATTTTAACCAACCTTTATTTCCCCCCCCCAAAAAATTTTTAAAAAACTTTAAATCTTTTTTAAAAATTAATTTTCACCCCCCACATTTACGATTTTGAATACTCCATTCTCAGAAAACCTCTTTGGAAAAATAACTCTGTTTTTGGGAAACATTTTTCCCACTACTTTTTTAATCTAGGTTCTACACAATAAGTTGTTATGTAGTTTTATTAACTGTATTGGTACCCCAAAAAACTTTTTACATACATAAAAATAAAATAATTTTCCCTTACCCCCTAAACCTTTTCTTTTATTTATTTTTAAAAAATGTATTTTACTTTTACCCAAAAAATTTTCTCCCCCATATTTTAAATTTTTTTTTTTACATTTGGATTTTTAAACCTTATATTTAACTTTTATTATTAATTTTGAAAAAAAATACAAAATTAATCAAATTTTATTAAAATTCGACATTTAAAACTCATATTAAATTTTTCTTCTAATTTCTCCTTTCCAAGGGCTCTGTTAAAACCCACTTTAATTTATTTATTTACTTTTAATAATCTTATTTATAGTTAGCCTCTTTTTAAATTTTAAAATTATGGATTTATAAATTTATATTAACCCTATAACACATTTAAAACTCCATGAATTTTAAACCCCCTTTCTTTTTACTTAAAACAACATCAATTCTTTCTTCATAAATAAAATTTTTAATTGACCCATCCAGCAAATTTTGATTTATTTATTTTTTTACTTTTTATTTAATATATAATAAATATAATAATTTTAAAATAATTTTAATTTTATTTTTAAAAAATTAGAATTAATTTATTATATAAATTAACAAAGGTGGGGAGTGGTATTTAGAATCAGTAAAATTTTATTAGCATTTGGCAAATTTTAAATGTGTTAGTGGGTGAAAGTGAAAGGTAAAGGTCTTCTTTTTGTATTCTCTTTTTTGGGGATGCCTTTTTAGACCAAACTTTTTTGAAAAAAAAAAAAAAAAAAAAATTATTATATTATTATTATTATTATTATTATTAGCAGTAGCAGAAATGTTTGATTCTTTGCTGTGTTCAAGAGTAAACACATGATGTCACCGTCCAATACCTGTCTGAATAGCCATTCTAATATGCAGTCATGGATGGGTTTACATTATTTATACTGTAGTTTAATAGCAAATAATGAACAAACAAAACACTCACCACACAGTGGTGGGAGGGCTGGCTGCCAGTTGCAGGGGTCGGAGGGAGGGTAGCAGGGACTCGCAGTGGTTGAGGCAGTGGTATTTAATAACATGCATGTTATTAAGGCATAACGTATGTATTTAGTACAATTTACGACGTTTTCATGTACTTTATGATTGTTCATGGTTGGACAAGTTAAGGAAGCAGCATTGTATTATATTTCCCTACAATATATTGGGGCACCAAACATTCACGGTTTTTCAACATTCACGAGGCTCTTGATCCCCTAACCCTCGCGAATGTTGAGGGAGACCTGTAAAATAAAAAAAAAAAAATCTAAACAAGCATAAAAATCTTTAAAGAGGTTGACTGCATAAGTATCGTAGTTTTCCACGATTTTGTAGTAAACGTACGGAAAGTGCATAGCTGACAGACAATCCTACTATTCCACCGCTGATTCTACCTCGGCCCATGACAGCAAATAAAGCTGCGGAAAATGTCAATATGTTGCCAATGGTCTCCAGGCGAACTGCTAACCATCTGTGAACATAAATTGTTATTTTACATAAGGTAGTAAGATTCATTACGTTCACAAATATTGTAATCCCTCTAAATTTGATATTTTTATAATACCTTAACTGACTTATAAATAATTACAGAAAACAATTTAAAGTCATCATTTTGCAGAATATGTATTCCTATGTACAGCATTTATTTTTTTATAAAATTTGTTTTGTATACCAAATGCATTAATATTTTGTATAAGATCATTAAGTGATTACAGTACTGTATAAATTTGATTAGCTATCTATGCAGAAGTTACTGGAATGAAGCTATGCTTCTGGTGTCCAATCCTCAGTATTTATTTGCTATAAAAGTTTTCAGTGAGTGTAGCCCATTTCACCTTCTCCTGGATCTTAGTTCAGTATTCTACCATTCATTGTCAAGAAAATATTCTGTATCCTTTACATGCCACTTATTTTCAGTTTACAATTGTGGCTACTGAGTTTTGTTGATGGTGGTAAGAAATGTTTATTTTCTTAATTTTTTTATGATTCTGCATGTGGTTATCATGTTGCCTCTTTTCTTTAAATGTGTCTTGATGGGCTCATATTTTTTTAAATTAAAAAAATTAATGCTATTAAAATTAAAACTATGTATTTCTTATAAGCCATGCAAATTACAGTAGTTATACATTCAAAATGATTGTATTCTAAATTTGATCTTATTATAATACAAATATAATGATACAATATAAGGTTCAGAAGAAAGCAACTACTAAAGTAATGCAAATGTTACTTATATCTAGACTTGTATTAAGTCTAGATATAAGGGCCCCACTTATACGGCAGGTTAGGTTCCAGGCTACCGCCGTAAAGCGGAAACCGCCGTAAAGTGGAACACCCTTTTTTTCCACTTATAAATGCATACAAACACTAGATAACAAGTTTACACTAACATATATTAAGTTAGCAATAGAACCAGGCATCAAAAAACAATAAAAAAGTACAATACACACATAGTGCACTCATTACTTACCTTAAAATATTTATAGTCTTAATCTAGGGTGAGACAAGTAGTATTTATTGTAAGAAATCAAGTGTGGTATGTATGGTAATAGCCAGGCTACCTTACCAGGCCACCCCACCCACACATACTATTCTATGATATTTAAGCATCCCAGAGCGATAAAATGTATATACAGTTCACTCATTACTTACCTTAAAATATTTGTAGTCTTAATGTAGGGTCAGGAGTAAGTAAATGAGATAAAACAAATAAATGAGAGAGAGAAAGAATGAGTACATGAGAGGGGACAGGCCAGAGTTATGTAAACAAACCAGGCGAACGTAAGTTTTGTAAACAAACGAAGTGTACACGTCTGGTTTGTGTACAAGTTACATTGTGTACAGGTTGTCTCTACATTGATACGGTAGAATTAATAAAGAAGAATACTCCCATTCTCATGTAACATCATTTTGAGAAGAAATGAAGCTCTGAGTGAAGGCAATGGAAATAAGTCACACTGACTTTTTTGGGTTATCCTAGGTTCTCTACACGTATGTTGTTATGTATGATAATCTATGTAACTGTATTTGTGTATACCTGAATAAACTTACTTACATACATACGAAAGGAATAATTTTCTACAGTTACCCCCAGTAACACATTTTCTTTTATGTTAGATTAGAGAAAATGTTATTCTTGCCGTCACTTGTACAAGTTATGTGGCTCCCACATCTTATATTTATGTTTATTTATTCTATTGTGGGGTGTATTTATCATCATTTTATGTTATGTATCGTGTTTATTATATAATTTTGAAAAAAAAATATCATGGATGGATTAATGAAAATGTGTATATTAACGTAATATACGACATTTAATGAGACTCGGTGAGTATTGTTATTATTATTATCATTTCTAATATGGCGTCACTTGTGCAAGTCGTCTGCTACCACATCTCACATTTATGTTTATTTATTCTACTGTGGGGTGTATTTATCTTATTTATATGTTATGCATCGTGTTTATTATATAATTTTGAAAAAAATATCATGGATGGATTAATGAAAATGTGTATATTAACGTAATATACGACATTTAAATGACTCGATGATTATTATTATCATTACTAATATGACGTCTGGAGACATAAGACACTTACCAATTTTAATGTGTACCTGCATGCCAGCACAGTATGTAAGTTTATTTAGGTACAGGTATACATAAGTATAATTCAGAGTATATATAAAATATGAAATAACTTTTAAAAACATTTGAAATTTTGGAGTTTACAGACAAAATGGAGAGACTTAGTGCTTACTGAGCTCATGGAGAATGTAAACAAACAGGGTGGGGCACGGTGACCGTATTAGAAAGTCAGGTGGGGGGAGCTGTATAGCGAGTTTTGGTCATAATTTGAAATGTCCGTATTAGCGGAACGCCGCAAAGTGAAACGCCGTAAAGCGGGGCCTTCCTGTATAAGTAATCCTAGCAAGGTATTACTGTAGTGCTCTTTTTTTTTATGACCAAATTTATTCTTATTTTTGTGCACATAATAGCTTGGTATATGTAAACCAGATTATTCCCCCACCCCACCTTCCTCATTCCACCGGTGTTGTATGACTTACTGGTTTAACACTTGCCATGAACATATTATTGTAAAGCTCACCTGTTAGCCATGACACTTGGGAAATAACAAACTTGATTCAAGTCAACTTTCTTTTCAGATTCTAATATAAACTCTTGCTCCTTGCTGTATGCCCGGATAGTGGAGGCCCCTGTCAAAACACAAAAGATTAATAACTTTAGTTTTTCTGTGTGATGTATAATTTTAACAACTATTACAGCAGGCCTGCTTCCCACTTTTCAGATATAACAAATATGAGTATCTTATCACATTATTACCCTAGTGTACAATACAAAATTTGGTTGCTTATCAACTGCCTTAAGACATACCAGGTAACAGTTTTTGGGGATTTCTCATTTCAAATTCTGCCCTGAGGCAGTATTATTATGGTATATTATTATTTTTTTTTTCAGCAAGTTGGCTGTCTCCCACTGAGGCAGGGTGACCCAAAAAGAAAGAAAATCCCCAAAAAGAAAATACTTTCATCATCATTCAACACTTTCACCTCACTCACACATAATCACTGTTTTAGCAGAGGTGCTCAGAACACAACAGCTTAGAAGCATATACATATAAAGATACACAACATATCCCTCAAAACCGTCAATATCCCGAACCCCTCCTTTAGAGTGCAGGCATTGTACTTCCCATTTCCAGGACTCAAGTCGAGCTATATAAAAATAACCGGTTTCCCTGAATCCCTTCACTAAATATTACCCTGCTCACACTCCAACAGATCGTCAGGTCCCAAATACCATTCGTCTCCATTCACTCCTATCAAACACGCTCACGCACGCCTGCTGGAAGTCCAAGCCCCTCGCCCACAAAACCTCCCTTACCCCTTCCTTCCAACCTTTTCGAGGACGACCCCTACCCCGCCTTCCTTCCCCTACAGATTTAAATGCTCTCCATGTCATTCTACTTCTGCATATAGAAAAAAAAGCAATATAAATGATCAATATTACCAGGGTATTCAATGCATTTCAATATTTAAAATATACTAAAGTAAAAAAATACCAAGTGTGACAACATTCTCACCTTGTATGCTCTCCTGGAAATGAGAGTAGATGGGAGAACGTGAAACAGACTCAATCCGCTTAAGCTGTCTCGATGTGGTCACATACAAAACCTGAAAGTCAAAATATAATTTTTATGTTACAGTATATTACACTGTTACTGTATCAACTCATTAAAGACAACTCAAAAGATAATCAGAAGAATGAAAAAATTTCTGAGTACAGTAATTCGTTAGTTACTGAGATATCTTTGAGCAAAGCTGGGAAAGAGATATTCAAGACATTAATAGTCCCATCATACATTCGATATTTTAATAAGAAAAGATATTCTTAAAAAGAAAACATCACCAAAAAGAGACACATATACATTGAACATTAATTGTTTAACATTTAAAACTCATTTTTAAAGTAATTTAACGTCAAATTATTTCTTTTTATTAACACATCAGCCGTTTCCCACCAAGGTAGAGGGGCTCGAAAAAAAAAAACTTTCACCATCATTCACTCCATCACTGTCTTGCCAGAGGTGCACTTACACTACAGTTATAAAACTGCAACATTAACACCCCTCCTTCAGAGTGCAGGCACTGTACATCCCATCTCCAGGACTCAAGTCTGGCCTGCTGGTTTCCCTGAATCCCTTCATAAATATTACCCTGCTCACACTCCAACAGCACGTCAAGTCCTAAAAACCATTTGTCTCCATTCGCTCCTATCTAACAAGCTCACGCATGCTTGCTGGAAGTCCAAGCCCCTCGCACACAAAACCTCCTTTACCCCCTCCCTCCAACATTTCCTAGGCTGACCTCTATCCCGCCTTCCCTCCACTACAGATTTATACACTCTCTACATGTCCGAACTGCCTCAACAGCTTCTCATCAGCCCTCTGGATAATAGTTTTGGTAATCCCACACCTTCTAATTTCCAAACTATGAATTCTCTGCACTATATTTGCACCACACATTGCCCTCAGACATGACATCTCCACTGCCTTTAGCCTTCTTCTTGTTGCAACATTCACCACCCCATGCTTCACACTCATAAGAGCATTGGTATAATTATACTCTCATACATTCCCCTCTTTGCTTCCATGGACAAAGTTCTTTATCTCCACAGACTCTTCATTTTTTTATCCTCATCAACTTACTCTTTCCTATATTCACTTTCAATTTTCTTCTTTTGCATATCCTACCAAATTCATCTACCAACCTCTGCAACTTCTCTTCAGAATCTCCCAAAAGCACAGTGTCATCAGCAAAGAGCAACTGTGACAACTCCCACTTCGTGTTAGATTCTTTACCTATCTGCCAACACCCGAGCATTCATTTCTCTTGACAACCCCACCTTGACATCACACATCCTTGTCTAAGGCCTACTTTTACTGGGAAATAATCTCCCTCTCTCCTACATACTCTAACCTGAGCCTCACTACCCTTGTAAAAACTTTTCACTGCTTTCAATAGCTTACCTCCTATTCCATACATCTGCAACATCTGCCACATTGTCCCCCTATCCACCCTGCCATACGCCTTTTCCAAATCCATAAATGCCACAAAAACCTCTTTACCCTTATCTAAATACTGTTCACCTATATGTTTCACTGTAAACACTTGGTCTACACACCCTCTACCCTTCCTAAAGCCTCTTTGTTCATCTGCTATCCTACTCTTAATTCTTTCAATAATAACTCTACCACACACTTTACCAGGTATATTCAACCGACTAATTCCCCCATAATTTTTGCATTCTCTTTTGTTCCCTTTGCTTTAACCTTTAAACTGTCCAAACGTAGATCTACATTTACACACATACCGCTCCGACTTTGATTTTTCCATATTTGAAAGCATTTAAAAAAAAAAGTAGATCTACGTTCAGAGTGCTACGAGAGCAAATGTAGATCTACGTTTGGACAGCTTAGGGGTTAATAAAAAGGAACTATGCATGCTCTCTGCCAATCCCTAGGTAACTTACCCTCTTCCATACATTATTAAATAAAAGCACCAGCCACTCCAAAACTATATCCCCACCTGCTGTTAACATTTCTATCTTTATCCCATCAATCCCAGCTACTTTACCCCCTTTCATTCTACCCACTGCCTCATGAATTTCCCCCACACTCACAACTGGCTCTTCCTCACTCCTACAAGATGTTATTCCTCCTTTCCCTTTACATGAAATCACAGCTTTCCTATCTTCATCAACATTTAACAATTCCTCAAAATATTCCCTCCATCTTCCTGATACCTCTAACTCTCCATTTAATAACTCTCTCCTATTTTTAACAATCAAATCCATTTGTTCCATAGGCTTTCTCAACTTATTAATCTCACTCCAAAACTTTTTCTTATTTTCAACAAAATTTGTTGATAACATCTCACCCACTCTCTCATTTGCTCTCTTTTTACATTGCTTCACCACTCTTAACCTCTCTTTTCCTCTCCATATACTCCTCCCTCCTTGCATCACTTCTACTTTGTAAAGATTTCTCATATGCTAACTTTTTCTCTCTTACTACTCTCTTTACATCATCATTCCACCAATCACTCTTCTCTCCTACACCCACTTTTATGTAACCACAAACTTCTGCTCAATGTCAAATATTAATTAGTACTCATCGCTACTCCTGAGGCAATTAATATAAATATTTAAACAAATTATAATGACTTATGAAGTAGCCTACTAACCAATATGCAACAGCAGTGAATTTAATTAAAAATTTATGTGCAACCAACAAGAAAATTTAAATAGAAGTGGGAAGTCCAATACATAAGCATTCTTACTTGCACAAGGTAGTAGATTATTATGGTTGGCACCATAACCACAACAAAGATGGGAGTAGAGTAAATTATTGCCAAGAATGTCGACGCCACCTGAAAACAGAAAACAGTAACAGAAATAAAAAATATTTTATATGATAAAAAAATTTGTTTACACACTTTTTTTTTTAAGATGGAATGTGTGTTCTATGTACCATGGACAATATTCAAGTTTTATGTGTAGAAGTGTTGCTGAGAAAATGCGCTGAAATATTAAAGTGATGGTGAATGTGTTTCCTTCTTCAGGTCATTCTACCTTGATGAGAAATGACTAATGTAGCAAAAAATGTAATGATGGTACTGAGACAGTTTCTTCAAAGGAAATCAGTATAATGCATGCCACAGAATGCCAAATCTTGTTTCAAAATTTAACTGACCTACTCAGTAAGTGACTGTTTAATGTATCTCTCACTCTTTCCTGCAAAACATTAAAAAAAAAAAAGAAAAAATCTTTCTTTTCAAAGTCAGGTGACCACTAGTACAAGTGTGGTTTACAGTATTTGAAAGTACTACATGTCAAAAGAATCTCAGAAGTGAAAATTTAAAATAAATTATACAGAATAAAAAGAGATACTGTTTTGTGTATATGTAGTGGAACCTCTTTCTTTACAGCTTTAAAAATTACAAAATTTTTCTTTGATTCATGCTTCTAAGGAACATGCTTGTGGGATAGCAAGGCAACTGTTTTTATTGATAAAAATAAACGCACACAATATCATGGAATTTTTATAAAATACACAATTGTTATCATACTTTTTCAAAATTTTTAATGTAACATGAAGTTTAAATAAAACAAGGTACACTGTGACTGTGCTGTTTACCTCTACAGCACAGACTACCATTTTTTGATGAGGTTGCAAAATTTTTGGTATCTCCTTGGGTGGAAAAAAAAAAGGGAAGAAGAGAGGGCATGGGACGTCACAACTGATATAGCAAATCAATCAGTTAGGATATGTTATAATCAGGGTAAAGCACTAAGCCCACAGGGGTCATACAGTGTATGGGGAATGGGAGGTAATTAGGTTCAATCCAAGGAAGGGAAAGATAATCCACTTCCTTGGATCAAGATCCCCTCACTGATATCAAGGAACCTCCCCTGAGGGGTACGAGACTGTAGTTAGCATTCAATATGTAACCCATGAACATCACAACTTTGCTATTTTTTGAGTTTCTATGATTACTTACTTTGTAACCCATTGATAGAAACTGAAACAGATTACACTCATGGTGTCCCAATTTTTGATCAGTATACAGTAGGTCCTCGAATAATGTTGTTTCATTCAATGTCGTTTCGTTATAATTATAAGAAAAAATTAAATGAATACAATGAAAACAAATTATTGCAGAATGAAAATTTGTAAGTTTATGATAGTCTTACAAATACATGACAATAAATGATGCAGTACAAAAGTGCTCAGTGAGCCTGCCATATCTGTTGCTTGTTTTTGAACTGCCTGGTGGTAGGAGGTGCTTCCTACAATTTTTGCTTTGCAAATATTTATTCCTTGATTTAACCCTGTGGCAATGTGTGCTAAAGGTGCAATGTGTACCCCTGGTGTTTGTGGCCACAAAAAACAGAAAAAGTGTGACATTAGAAACAAAACTAGAAGTTTTAAAGAGGTCTGAGGATGGACAGTGAGGTGTGGATGCTGGAAGAGCTCCTGGTTTCATTATACATCATTTCACTTAAAGTTGCAGTTTTCAAGACCCTATTGACGACGTTAAGTGAGAACTTGCTGCATAGTTTGTCGTATAATTTAAGCTTCCAGAGGCTGAAGCACACATTAACTCCTGCATTCCGTTCCAATGTTCCACCACTCAAAGAATTTTTCTAGAATTTTTTCAGTCCTGTTTTTTTTCTTGTTTTATAGTTGTGGTCTCCTGTTCTAAAGTTAATGGTGCTAAGGAATCTTTATTTTCCTTTATTCTTGTATCTCATGTGTGTTTCCCATGTCTCCTCTTTTCTAACTATAAAACAATGAGGGTATTATTATTAGTTTTCACTAGCTCATCATAATTTACATTCTCAGCTGAAGCCTTTTTTTTTAAATGCCAATGGCCTATCTTAATATTTATAGGTGCAAACACTACATTATCCTTCCATATCCCAATTTTGGTCTAAAATATGTTGCAAAAGGCTTTGTTAGCATTTCACCATACATATATCCGAAGTCGGCTTTAGAGTTTGCCAGTGTAGTGTACGAGTGTCTCGTTTATTATATTTATGTCATTTCATAATAATGGTTTTGTCTGATTACTCCTAGATCCCTCCTTGTCCAATATTTTCAATATTTTATCATACAATTTATATTCTTCATGAAGCTTGTGATCACTTTCTCCCATTTTCATTACAGCCTGTAAATGTAGTTCTTTCATCCATATGTAATGTCATTTGTTCATTTTATACAAGTCATCTTGTAGGAATTTGTAGTCATTTATTACAGATTTTGCAAGCATCATGGGATCTTCAGTGCAACATAAGTGAACTGAAATTAAGCAAAAAGTTATAATTACAGTGGTACCTTGATTTATGAGTGCCCCAACTTATGAGTTTTCTGAGTTACAAGCCATTGCTCTGTCGATTTTTTGCTTCAAGTTGCGAGCCAAAATCCAAGTTACAAGCAAGCTTGAGATACGCCGCCACTAGTTGGTGCAGCAAACGCCAAAACATCTGCCCAGCACCCCTGCGTTTTGTGCAGTTATTTTGTCAAATTTCTTTTTTCTAACCATGGGTCCTAAGAAAGTAACTGCAAAAGACAGTGCTGAGAAGAAGAAGAGGATGATGTCCATTGAATTCAAGCATGAAATCATAGAAAAACATGAGAAAATCACTTTTGTTTCAGTGTTTTCCTTAAGAAACTAGTGATCTAGTGCAGTTAGCCTTACAAACACACTGTTTTCTCTTATAATAACTCCTCAGAAGGGCAAGAATGGGAAGATATGGTCAAAGCGATAATTATTTTTACCTCAGGAGTGGCTGCCACTACTTGTCACATAATGACATATTTTATTCATTCTAGGGTATATGTCATGTTTTTATGTTATTCATATTGTTTATTGTGTCATATTAGATCAATTGTGATAGCGTTATATTGAAGTATTTTCTCCTGCCTCCCAAGAGCCAGGAATTCCGCTGAAACAGATTAATGGCATTTCAGTTAATTTCAATGAGGAAAATTGATTTGATATATGAGCAAATTGAGTTACGAGTTCAGTCATGGAATGAATTAAACTCGTAAGTCAAGGTACCACTGTATTAGTTTAGCCAGTGTGGAGTAAACCCCATCTGCTGGGAGACCTTATAGTATTAATGAATCCATTAAGTGTTACATTAGGGAAAAATGAGAAGACTAAGGAAAGAATAACAGTCATTGTAAACATACCAAAAGGACTGTGTCAACTGATGACATACATTATAATCTCACTTTGAGTTGCTGGGTCATATGTACATACACAACTAAAACAGTTATATGACTGTTCTACAAACAGGTGGCAAAACTGGTAACAAGTGTACCTGTAATAGTTGTACCAAGTAGGTTGGTATGAAAATTTTAAGATAAGGAACAAGCTGTACAATGTTAAGTCACTGGAGTGTAGGCATGTGTAAATGATCTTTCATGGAGTGATCCTCATCTCAAAGTGATCACATATGATAGGAGATATGGGTCACAGGTAGTCTTTAATGATGAAATTGTCTTCTTCAAGAAGATGATGCCTAATGACAAATTTCTTCAAAGCTGAATGACCTGCTCCTGACTTAAAGAGCAAAAAACAGGATGACCCTGTGTGAAGAAGTTCAAGTTGCTCTATCAAACCTCGAGTGACTGTGTGATGAAGCCGACGCTGCATTATCATGCCTCAAGTGTGTGATGAGGCCAACGCTGCTCTACTGTTCCCTCAACTTGTGCATTTACAGCAGAAAATAAGGATCTGCCAATGGTATGGATGGCAAATACAATGGGTTAAGCCAACAAAAAATCTTAATTGACTGGTTTCAAAACAGCATTATTCTTGTAGTCAAGAAATATTTTAACTACATGAAGACACTATCAAGTCTCCCTCCTCACAGGCAATGCTTCTACCTACAAGAGGACCTTGCACACTGGAACCCAAATGCCAGAGAGAAGTTCCTGCCTTTAACCACACCTTCCTTTCTATATCATGTAGACCAAGACATGAGCACTGCATTCAAAAGATGATACTGGTAATGGTCTAACACTTGAGGTGAGTACATAAGTGAGTGCACATACACCACATCCTGCTCTGTTGTTCAAGAGAACTGTTAGGGATTTTTCCATTATTGCAGGGTTTCCAAGAATGTAACTACTGTGAATACCAAGGCCTCATTGTACTTAGAGAAACTAGTTTTAACTACAGTAGTTTTAACTACAGATTTTCCCTAGGTGGAAATTCAAATTCCATACCTGTATATTGCCTTTCTTTTGTGATAACTTTGTGCCATACCCAATATGCTTTAGATTTTCATGAATTGTAAGGGGGATCAATATATTATTAATCATTCAAGGTTGTCAAACATTTTAGCAGACTGCAATATGGTATGTTATTTATTGTATTTTTAAGTTGCCTGAACTATATAACAGCATGCTATCTAATCTAGACTTTGTTGGTAACACAGCTGAGCAGGGAAAAACAGAGGACTTTTAACCCTTTCAGGGTCCAGAGTCCAAATTTCAAAGTGCGCACCAGTGTCTCCAAGAATTTTAACAAAATAATTTTGTTATTTTTTTCTTATGAAATGGTAGAGAATCTTTTTCTGAAGGTAATAAAACAAAAAGTACGAAATTTGATAGAAAACTGACAAAATTATGCTCTTGTGAATTTTGTGTCAGCGATATTTACGCATCGGCAATTTTGCAGACTTTGACTCCCATTTTAGGCCAATTACCTTATTTCAGTCGACCAAATTCTTAGCTGTTTCACTAGTATTACTTCTATTCTATCGATTGAGCACAAGAAATCGCCAACTCAACTGTTTCAACTACAAAATAAAGTGATCGGAAATTGGTAATTTGGCCAATTTAGTTCCAATTTCA